ACACACGCACAAACACCCGCGCGCGCGCACGCACGCACGCACGCACACATGCACGCACGAACGCACAAAAGCACGCACAAATGCACTAAGGCACGCACGAACGCAGCACGAACGCACTCGCGTACTAATGCAAGCACGCACGCACGAACGCACTCGCGTACTAATGCAAGCACGCACAAACGCACATTCGCACGCACGCACACATGCACGCACGAACGCACGAACGCACATACGCACGCACGCACGCACGCACCAACGCACGCACGCGCTAACACACGAGCACACGAACGAATGCACGCACGCACCAACGAACGCACGCATACACGCAGCATGAACGCACGCAGCACGAACGCACGAAAGCACGCACGCAAGCACGCACGCACGCCCGAACGCACGTACGCAAGCACGCACACATGCACGCACGCACGCACGAACGCACGAACGCACGAACGCACGAACACACGCACACACCTGTACGTATACTTTTGAGAACAACACCACTCACACAGCACACCCACATAATGTAGACGATGTATGAGCTTCATTCTTTCTTGTCACATACTCATTAGAGAGTGCGGCGGTTATGTCTTGCTCGCTGCGTCCCTGTGTACTCCATTCACGGTAGTTGTCGTAGAATGTCTGTGTCTGCATGTCAGTGAGCATGCCATCGACTTTGGCGTCCTTTTGCATCACTCTCGAATGTAGCGCTTGCATTTCTGCGGTACAAACGATGCCCAATAATTATCATTTTAAGAAAAATTGACAAAGTATCGTCGAGCACGACCCTTGACTGTATCTATTATCATTCATTCTTCGTTTAACAGAACGGTGCTATATCCAAACCCCGATTACGTTGGTTATGATTCCAGCGCACACAGAATGCACAACAATATAGGGATGATAGAGCTTATTTGCTTTGGCCCATCTACATCGGTTGCCTGTATACCAGTAGGAAATAAGTTCCCCAATGACGCATTCTATCAGCCAACAGAACAGGGGTTTCAATGTTTCTAACCCAGCTTTGCTTGAACACCAACTGATTGAAAGAACACGCAGGCTGATGCAACGTATGGCTGTATGGTTCTGAATCTTGGTTCGCCATTGAAGTTGTATGTCGTTGTGCGTAATCAACACACATCTCAAGGGCGACGATGTATATCTCATAAACCATGCTATTGAATATCTAGAAATTCATGGTCCTTGCATAAGAGAAAGCGGTAGACATCAACAAAAAGAACGCCCGATTTCCAAGTTGAACAGCTGCAGTCGTGTATGAGTATTGGTTACAGTGTGGGCTTTAATTTCTTACATGGCATCGAATTACCAAGCCCACTATGAGGGGGTACATAGACGAGCTCAACAGTAAATGTGGGTATGAGAACAGACAGGAACGGTCTCAGGAAAACCACAACAAGCAAACAAATGAGCTTTGTATAGATTGATATGTACATGAATATTTTCACGGAAGTTAACTATATGAACTTGATTGGTAGCAGAAATTATTTGGACAGATTCCAATCCACTCTAATGGTGTGAAGTTCCAAAGTCGAAAATACTCGAATTCTACACAGATATTTGACAGACACGCCAACTATTCATCAAACTTGCGGTGCGAATGAAACATGTGACCAGACCACTGAGAATATTCAACTTGGGATGCGTATATACACGCAGAACACCATGGAACTGCAAAAGTCACATCCCACAAGCTGCACATATATATCATCAGATGTGTACATAATCTTACCATCGCGTGTGCGTACTTTAGGCGGGCTTGGATCCTCGCCTATCAGTGTCTGCTTGGCTTTGCTGGTGCTAATCATCATTTTGTTCATCCATCCGACCACATCTCGATCCGCCGCCTTCTCTTCATCGTCCTCTGCATACCACAATAAGTGCAGTCAACAAATTGCAACACAAAATAGTAGATCAGTCTCGTCTTTTATATACAACATGAGCCATTTGAAAAACTAATTTATACATTCAAGTACACACTTAGTATAAACAAAAGACATGATATATTAAATGAAGTGACGTGCAACAATATATATATATATATATATATATATATATAATATATATATAATAAC